TTAGTCCTTCTTGTGCCATCCCTCAGTGCTCCTCCCATTCTTGCTTTGACAGCTCAGTACTGGCTGTAGTAGTACTAGCTAGTATTAGCTAGTCTCTGGCAAGCTGTTGCCCACAAACTGCAGGGAAGTTCCCACAACTCTTGCAATAAAATTTAACAGCTCCTTGCTCTTTGGGCAGGACAAAAGAGGCTTCCACAGGAGCAATTAACCCCTCACTGCTCTGCATGCAGCTACCTTCCTCACTCTGCATGCACGTCCCTGTCCTTAGGGTAGGAAATAATGCCCAAAGGCTCAGCAAAACAGTGTGATTTGGTATCTTGAGTTTCCATGGTGAAATGTTTTTAGAAATAATCCAGGGTCTGTTTTTCAGTGGTTTGCCCTCCCTGGCCCTGGCCGAGAAGTGGGCCTCCCAGGCAGAGGGTGTACCCTAGCTAGCTGTGTTAGCTAGTAACAGAGGAGGCAGGGAAGTAACCATCTCACACGGTTTTGTCCACTGAGGGGTCTCTTGAGCCTTCTTGTGCAGCAGCCTCGGGTGGGGAACCCTCAGGTCTTATCCTGAGTGGCAATTTCTGTACTCCTAGGGTGTGGCTAGAGCCAAGCTGTGGATGTTTACTTATGTGTGCACAGATGCTTGGACTTAACTGAGGTTTGCCTTGGAGTGTGGAGATAGGATGCAGCTGTAATGCTGTGTTTCACACACCTCGGTGTCAGGAGCAGACTTATCTTGGTTAGAAAAATCTTGCACCTCAAAAAAATGTACCTGCTGCTCTGGGACACTTAACAGCAACTTGAGCCTCTGCAGAGCAGGCTGTGTGTGTCCAGAACCACTCACTGCTGAGTCAAAGATGCTCAAGAATATTATCCATGCTGCATCCCATGTTGTTTTAAGTGAAGTTTGAGAGAATTCTGCAAGAAGGTGGTGAGGTGAGTTTTATAGGGTTGGGCATAATAGGAAGTGCCCAATGGTGGAACAAATCTTTTGCAGTGTTATGCATTGTGAGTCACCCCTTGTGTGGTGTTCAGGGGCAGCTCTGGCAGTCACACCACATAGGGAGCATCTGAAGCAGAGTTACACGGAGCAGTCACGACTCTCTTCCTTACAGAGACATCTAAACTATGATACACAAGTGTCGGTCGAGAAGCCAAACACCTCCTCCTGCTCGTACGTACAGCTGGGGGCGGTGGTTGCTGCTGCCTGTTGAGCAAAGGAAACTGGCAACCCCTGGTTTGCAGCACAAACCAGAGCCCTGCTGTAATCGGGTCTCTTGGGTTTTGATAGTGCAGGCACATTTTAAAACCCTGAAAATACATGACAAAGGATAATTGTGCCCCTCTGGGCTTTCAGGGTAACTGGCCGGTGTGCCTTGGTGTGTGCAGGTGTCCATGACCAAGGAACAACGGGAACTACTTGGGGACCTCTCAGAGGGAGAGCTGTAACCCACCTGAAGGGAGCAGCTGCTTGCCAGGCTCCCTGTCTGCTTTGATGCTGTCAGCCCTACCCTCAGGAAACCCTCTTTGTAGATCTGGTGCCTCTTTTGATGAGCACAGTGCGGAACATGCAACGGAGGTGGTGTGAACCCAGCAGTTGTGTTCCAGCTGATTCTCAACACCCATGGTGCATAAGCATGGGATGGGTTTACTTCCTTCTCAGTGACCACAGCTGACCCGTGGCTGTCTTCTGCTGAGTGGACTTGGACCTGCTCTTCTGCTGGGCTGTGCTTGGGTATATATAGGTATGTGCAACTCCCTGTGCAGGGCTGTGCTGGGTGGTTCTGGTGGCAATGCTTTTCTCACTGAGGCAATGTGGATAACTGCACAGGTCTTCCTAGAGTGCACTCGTGGCTTAAGTGTGGTCAGGCAGTTGTCAACATGCAAATGTGGCTGATGAGTTTTTGTGTTGTGTAAAAGGCTACTTGTATAGCCATGTCAGAGCAGCGTGCTGAGCTCCTGTTACAAAACTATAACTGCGTTTCTGTTGTAGATGTAGGCTTGGCAAAATTGGGGCAGGAATTATTCCATTGATTAGCTGATGGGACCTGTTCAACAAGGCTATTCCTACACTCCCTCCAACCCAAAGACCAATCCTGTTCTTTTACAAAATAGGTTTTTGTGTGTGTAGTTAACCATTTCTTAATGCATTTCTATCCCAGTGTGGGTCCTAGTTACACAGCTTGGACCTCACCATGCTGGAGCACAGCCACATGGCTGCAGTGGAGAGCCTTGCCTTTCATTTGTGGCAAGATTTAGGCTGTGTGCACCATCAGGAGTTTAATACAAAGCAGCGACAAAACAGTTCCTGCTAGTAACTGCCAGCTCCTGTCACAGGCGTGGTGGGAGCTGTTGCATGGTTTGACTTGTGACTTTATCATTGTGTTAGTTAAGCTTTGTGAAGAGCAGCTTTATTCATGGCAGTGGCAAGGATGGGCCCAGCCTCGGGAAGCCTGCTGTCCTCTGAATGCCACCGCAGCTGAATCAGTGTGATGTTTGGTGCTGTCTCTAGCGTGGAAGGGATCTCAGTCTCTAGATGCGTATGTGTCAGGAACGTGGGCTGAGGCACAGATTGTGTTCCTCACCTCAGAACTTGTATTGTCAGGACAAACACCAGCCTGAGCAGACGTGGCTGTGACAGATGAGGGCCTGTACTCGGTGCAGCACCAAATTTATCATTGGATTTTGGGCTTCAGAATCATGGTCAGATGAGAAATGTATTTAAAAAAAACCCTTGTCTGATCATCTGTATGTAGGCTTCACCAGAGCTGGTGTTATATATGATTAAGTGGAAAGAAAAGGTAAAATGCAAAAGAAAAGGTGGACTGAGCCTACATAGGGATTGCACAACAAATATGAAAATGCACAGAGGAGGCACTCAGTGGCCTCGCCTTTGGCCTGCTGAGCCTCTGGCTTTTGTTAGCATCACCCCCATCCTGAAGGCACCCTTTCGTGGCGTGGTGTGGGTGGCAGGGTCACTGCCAAAGGAGGCGATGTGGGTAGTTGCTGGCGTATGGAGAGAGAAGTGCTTCCTCTTCCAAAACAAGCATGACTTTGTGTTCTCTGAGCCTTGTCAAGGTCCCCTGCGCCCAGGGTGAGATGGCAGCAGTGTAACCATGGCAGTGTTTGTCTCTGGGATAGTCACTGCTTTAATGACTCATGCTGGAGCATGTGATCACGTGTGCAGCTTCCCCGCTTCCCTTTGCCCTATTTCATCCAATCTTTTGATCTAGTTATGTAACTAGGAATCCAGAGAGGTGGGGGGAAGGAAACGGTGCTGAAGAATTGCAGGTATTGTGACCAAAATGTGTCTGTGGCTCAAACAGCAGAGCTGTTGTCTGGGGAGTCTGGGCAATTTGGTTTATTCCCAGCACAGTTCTCCGTCTGCCAGTGAATGTGATGTGATGCATGATGTACATTTAAGGAAGCAAGGTGGGAGGACAGGGCTCCAAGACCTTGACTGTGGTAGGAGAACCACCTTGACTGAAGCAGCAAACCCCTTTGAATTTATCTTCACAGGCAACATAACTCTTTCTTGCATTCACCATGAGATCTGTTTCATCCCATAACTTATGGATACCTGTTTTTCCAGTATGTGTAGAACTTGCTGGGACTGATGTTCACAGAAGTCTTTGAGCTGCTCTGCTGGTATTGGTCCATGGTGGGGTGAGCCCTGAAGTCCTAAACAGATTCTGACATAGACTTTGTGCAAATGCTGGGGCAGGTCTGGTGGCACGTCTGGAAAGGAAGCTTGCAAAGCTGGGGCTTTTGACCAAGGTGTGAATCTCATTCTTACCAATTTCAAGAGGTGATCCTGGTGGTAAGGTTAATTGAATAGGCATATTAACGTGGCAGCTGTAGAGGTGCCTCTACGTGCAACGTGTGCTGTACTGAAGCATCCTTCATTTAAGCTCCAAGCCTTTTCAAAAGGGATGATCCTTGTCCCCAGATTCCACACAGTCACAATGTGATGGTTGTTGGTTCTGTGTTGCTTCATCTGCCACATTCTTCTGCACTGATATCTTCTTTCCTTCAAAGTTCTGTCTGTGTCATTTCAGCTCAGTCATTAGCTCAGATACACAGCATAAGCAAGAAAGCTGATTATGAGATGAGGTTCAGGGTATCTCTTTGCATGACACAAGGGGAAAGGATGCTTCAGAGAAGCTATTACAAGGCTCGTCAGAAGCAGTTTAATTCAAGGGAAGCTTTTGAACAGAAACATTTCGTTTCTGTGCTCTGCAAGCATTAGCTTGGTCACTGGCAGCCTGTTGAAGAGCAAAATGCCACATAGAACAAGGTGTCATTTCACATAGTGCTTTAAGACTGAAATCAAGCACTCACTAATGGAAGCCTGAAAATAGGAGAATGCAGAGGAAAAAGGAATGTGTCTGATTTATAATGTGGAAAGAGTATTGCCACTTTTTATTTTTTAAAAAAGCTGCCAGAAGTTACTGTTGAAGTCATAAGAGTGGAGACGGGGGATAAAACCAGTGAGCTGCCTTCTAAGCCGTGACCCAGCGCTTGAGCCAGATAAGCTCTTGCATGGTGTGTCCTGGTAACTTAGAAGATAGTTACACTGATGTCTCATAAATGGAAATTTCTGCCCAACATGGAAGCGGAACAAAGAAAAAGAGATTTGAGTTCCTTGGTTTAATTGAAGTTCGTTGGACCCCTGTAGGACAGGTCCTACAGGGACCGTAAGGGCAGCAAGTGCTCTATGTGATCTGCAATAATTTTGCCTTGTTTTCTTGTCAGGACACCTAGGCTGTGTTGAGTGGCGTTAGTCTTGGCGTTTGCTGAGAACAAACCCTTTGCTGTAAAACTTTCTATCACTGTTTGAGGGGCTGTCAGAAAGGACCTCAGTCCTGACCCACAGAGAAACCTGCTTGCCAGCAACCGAGGGTAGGGATTGTTGGTTCCCATTCAGCTCAGATCTTGATGACAGCTCAGGTAAAAGCCAGCTGCTAGCCTGGCACCGTTGTTCTGATGTCATTACCTTCTCATCTTTTCAGACCAACCCCAGGAAGGTGTGTTTAGCAGCGACCATGCTGAACACGTGGAGGATGGAGAATGGCAGCGCTCGACTTCAACTACCTCATCTCAGAGCGAGCGGGCAGAGCGACTCTTGCAGAACCAGCACAAGAGCCTGGCCTCTGAGGACACCAAAAAGAAGAGGGCTCAGAAACCGTCTCACATGCGGAGGAACATCAGGTAAGCAGCGGCAGGACAGAAAGAGCTAAGGTCCTGTATAGCCCTTTGGGTAAGAACAGAATCTCTGAACTTTGCTTCTGAGCTACATTTTTTTGCCACTGCTGGCAAACCAGATGGCTTTTCTTTTCCAAAACCTTAGGATTTCACCAGTGGGAGTAGTATGATCTCAGACTGGAGTGCTGCATGTGGGTGCAGGCTTGTTTGGTATTTCAGAAGTGAGAATATTTGGTTATGGAATATATTGCAAAAATTGTGTATTTTCTTCTGGCTGTTAAGAGATGTAATTGAAAAACAGTACCACCATTAACGGAATAGCCAGTTTCAAATATTTGCTGATGAGGGTCTTATTGCAAACAGCCTAAAACATAATCCTTCCCTCTACTATCCTGGGTACTTGCTGGCAGGGATGCTGATGCTGTGAGCGGTAACCAAAATGTTGGAGATAATTTAACCTGGATTTTGTAAATCAGTAATTGATTGTGTAAGTCACCACATATATTCTGGGGCAGGTTGCAAGGTGGTAATTCAGTCTGAAATTCTATTCAAGGGTACCTAGAATGCTCAAAGGAGGCATTATAGAGGAGGAACTCCTGTGGCAGCAAGTGGCTCTTTTGCTCTGTATGTAACACCCTAGTGGTCTTTGGTTTGTATTTAAGCTTGTGCAGGTTGGTTTTCCTAAAGCTGAAAGAATAAGGACTGAGTAGGCTTTAGAAAATGAGACTTCATTAGAATGGAGATGTCCCTGCAGCATGGGGTTGGGTGCATTTAAAGGCTAGTTTGAGGGAGCTGGATTTTACCACTGCTTGTACCACACCTCTCCTCTGCCAAAAGAGCATTCATTTCCACGGCTGCCCATGTGAAAACAAAGCAGGGGAAAAGCAACTTTTGGAAGTAATAAAAATTACCTGTAAAGGTGAGATGCTTTGAGAGCATCCTTTGAATCAATTGTTAATGCCTTTAGAGATCCTAGTTCCTGAAAATGCTGTCTCAGAGGAGAATCAAGGTAATGACTTTTCTTCCCAGATATCTTTGCAGGACTTTGTGCCTTTTCTGTTTATCAACTGCATAGCAATAAGTAACATCCTTTCAGATAGAAAAACTAGTCTATGATAACCTAGCTTAAGTATGTACTTACCCACTCATATTTTTCCTCCTTTCATTGTTTTGCTTCTGTCAAACTTTTGTCTTTTCCTTGATTAATAGTAGTGTCACCTGTAGTTGAAATAGCTGTAGAATTTGCCTGTAGCTCTTGGCAAAGACGTTCCCAGTTTGGGTAGCTGACAGACTACCTGGAGCTTGTCAATCATCTTTTAGGCTAGCTGTACATCCATTCACGTTTTTGGAAGAAATGAAACTTTGAGTCTGACTGAATCACATTTCTGTGTTTGCCCCTGTGTTCAGAAAGCTGTTGCGTGAGGACCAACTGGAAGCCGTGACAAAAGCAGCCCAGCAGGAAGAGCTGGAGAGAAGAAAACGGTTAGAGCAGCAGCGGAAGGATTACCCAGCCACAATACCAACCGTACCTCTGGAGTTTCTTCCTGGTAAGCAGTGGGAGATGCCACCCAAAGCAAGATGTTTAAAGATAGAAGCTGAATGAAGAAGGTAGTGCCATGCTTGTCCGTGACAGGACAAGAGGTGGTGGTTTTAAACTAAAAGAGGGCAGATTTGGACTAGATATGAGGAAGAAATTTTTTATAGTAAAGGTGAAACACAGGCACACGTTGCCTAGAGAGGTGGTGGAAATCCCATCCCTGTAAACATTCCAAGTCAGGTTGGATGGTGCTCTGAGAAACCTGCTCTAGTTGAAGATTTCCCTGCTCATTGCCAGGGGAGCTGGACTAGGCGGTCTTGAAAGGTCTCTTCCAACCCAAATCTTTCTATCCTTTATTTGGACACTTTCAAGTGTAAGGCCTTGAAAGGGCAGTTACAAGCTGCTTGTTGATTCAGAGTAGTCAGTTCCACTTCTGACCTGGTTCTGAATCAACTTGCTGTGGCTCCATCGTGAAAGGTGCCAGGTAAATTTTGCTGAAGATAATCTGACAAGTTAACTGTAAGTGGAATGCTGTCTTGTCTTTCCAACTAGTGTCAAAGCTTATATCAATGGACTTGACAGAAATGCCATGTCTTTGGTCCAGATCATATTTACACTGTGAATGGTCTGGTACTAGAGGTAGTGGAACAATAGACTGGGTGAATATATATTCATGATGTAACCTTGTCCTTTCTTGCATGTTTCAGCAAGCAGTGAAATAGCAGGCAGTATAAAAGGTTAAGTATCACCCTTGTTTTCTGGTGAATGTCATCTTGCCTTGTCTTCTAACCTGGATCATTTCAGTGAGCTAGATTACAGCACAGATTCTCAGACTGGTGTAAAGGGCAGAGAAGTGCAGTTGGAAGTTGTGTCAGGGGTAAGGAGTTCTTGACTTTGCTTCTTGAAAAAAATGTATATTCTCCCTTAAGTGCAAGTGTTCAAAACATTTTTACATTGGGGGAAGGAATAAAAGCTATTTAAAACACTTGAACAGAGTAGTTTGCAGCCCCAGAAGAATGTGGTTGCTTGCTGAGTTACTGCAGCAGTGCTCATCTGGCCCTGTTATCTCATGTCTCTCCTCAAATGGCAATACTTAAACATACAAACAAATGGTCTCCATCAGCAAAAGTTGTTTCAGATATGTGGGATGTAATTCTTACAGTCTCTACTAACAAAGGGCAGTTATCATCCCTTCAGCAGCTGGTACTTTCTCTGCTGGATGAAAACCAGGTTTTACTTCTGAGACCCAAAAAATAGAGACTTTAGCATGTTGCATGGTCAGTGTGCCCCAATCAGGGCAGGCAGTAAAGAAGGTGCCATCAGCAATGGGCTCTTGTTTTGACATTCTGAGAAAGGAGGAGATGGCGACCCAGGAAGCTGAGTCATAGCAGTATTGGAGACAGTGAGAGTCTGTTATGGAAAAATTCCAGGGCTCAGATATTGGAGCAAAAGTGGAAGGAAAATACTGTCTGGTTTCTGAAGAGTTTTGTCTCCTTCCCCATAATAATGAATTGCTTATTGTTGGTGATTTATATTTGTAGAGGACATCGTTTTCAGAACAGCGGAGGCTACCCAGCTCCCCCCACAAGTCCTGGCTGAGGAAGTGATCTGCCTAGATAGTACCAGCAGTGGCAGTGAAGATGATGCTAAAGGAAAAAATAGCATTAAAGATGGTGAGTGACTTTGCCCCAGCCCGATCTTCTCACAGTATGCTGTCTATTTAGCAGCAAGTCTCCCATTTTCATCTACTTAGATGCTCCAGCATTGAATCACTTCACATTTTCGTGGGCATATTGATCTCCAAATATTAGGCCAGTTCTGGTCTTTGAGCCCTGAACTGGCATTTATAAAATGGTCTATCAGGCACTCCTGCAAACTTGTGTTTATTTCTGCTGTATAAATGCACTTCATTTTGCTCAGTGCGCTGCTGAAGAATGCTTACATGAGGTGTGGCATCATCTGCTGTGTATAAAAAGAATATGTAAGTGTTTGGATCTACAGCTGGAAGTGGGTTTTCTGTCCCTTGTCCCAAATGGATCTAACCTGACTCCTGTATACAGCTCCAGTAGAGAGAGTACTTCTGCCCCATTTCCTTGGTGGCCCTTAGACATTGCATCAACAGATAAAATGCTTGTCTGGCTTTGGGAGGATAAGAGGATGTATGAAGGAGAACCCAAAATGCTTACAGAAACTGTGTCATATTCTGTGTGGATCAGTCCAATAATGTTCTCTGAAGCTTGGGGAAACTCAGGGAAACTCATGCTTTTATATGCTGGTCTGAGGGCCTGATGTGCGCCTGCTTGTTCAGAACAGGTCATTAGGCTAGTGTGGAATTGCAAAAGCAATAGCCTTATTTTCCTGATATGATTTTCTCCCACGTATGATAAATGCTGATGTCAAGTTAACCTTTCCTCTTATTCTCTTCTGTTTTGGTTACTTTACAGAAGTGATAGAGCTGAGTTCAGGAGAGGATGATGCCCTCCAAATTGTGGACAGCAGTGACTCTAGCAATGAAGGGGAGGAGGATGGCAGTGAAGAGAGCAGTGGCTCTCATGTGAATGATGCCTTAAATCAGTCAGATGCTCTGGGTCAAGTCATTGTCAACATCAATCATCCACCAAATGAGGAGGACATTTTCCTGGCTCCCCAGCTTGCACATGCAGTAAAACCTCATCAGGTAGGCTTCATTAGCCCTCAAAATGCAATGATTTCAGGCAAACCTGCCTTACAGTCTCAGCAGAACTTCGAATTCTGGGACCAGTCTGGTTGTGGTGGTGGCTGTTGTAGACAGTCAAATGATGCAGACAAATTAAAGGAAGGCCAGGGCTGTGTATACTTGGGCTACTGTTATCATCAGATCTTTGCATATTTAGGTGAACATTTTAAAAATAAAATCATATGTCTAAAAAAACCTAATCAACCCTCATTCAGATTCTTTGGCTACGAATGAATTTTTGATGTATTGGTAAATTTCCGGAAGTTTTATGAGGATCTAAGGATACTGATTTTTTGAGCCTTCCTTTGATTAGAGTACTGTAGAGAATTTGAAACATCCCCTTTATATTTTCATGGTGTTTGCAATGACAGTGTGCTTGCCACTCTATAAATACATATCCATCTTGGTTTTTTCTCTCACCACTCTAATACCTCTTCTACTTTTCTCTAGATTGGTGGGATCCGATTCTTGTATGACAACTTAGTCGAGTCCTTGGAGAGATTTAAAACCAGCAGTGGGTTTGGGTGTATTTTAGCCCATAGCATGGGCCTGGGCAAGACCTTGCAAGTCATCTCTTTCTTGGATGTACTTTTTCGTCACACAGAGGCAAAGACTGTTCTTGCCATTGTACCTGTAAGTAGCCATGTGAAGGGCTGGCCGAGAGGCTTCTTTGCAGTACTTCTTTCTTTATGTAGAGAAGATTGATTAATGTCCTGTCACATGTCAAGCTCTGTCATACCCTTGCTGCGTTTCTCTTTCTTTCTTTCCCTGTAGCCCTGAGTTTGCATGCTGTGGTCTGCTCCTTCTCTCTGAGCATAGCTGGGTGTTGTTCCCTGTTCTCATTTTTGTCCTTAAAATCCTGACTCGGTTGAGTTTTCAGTCCTTCCATGGCTAACTTTTTCAGGTGAATACGCTCCAGAACTGGCTAGCAGAATTCAACATGTGGCTCCCTTTTCCTGCTGATTATAACTCCAAAGAGGTCCAGCCCCGCACCTTCAAAGTCCACATCCTGAACGATGAACACAAGTAGGTGTCAGTAAAAGCCCTTTTATGCCCTTGGACTGCATCTTATAGAAATGTTATCAGGATTGCTGTTGCAGTCTGTTTAGTTCGGGCTGATTCTGTGCCCTTGACTCTCAGATCCTTTCCACTTCGCATTTGTTGAGCATAATGTCTTGCAGGGAGGATTTTGGTACCTGTGAGAGACTTACCATCTCTTTCATTCAATATTTATCTCTTGTACTTGAATCTCGCGTTGCTGATGCACTTTCCTGTTCTTCCATGTATGCTGACATCAGGAACCCAGTTCCAGAGACAGAGCTACTTCTGCAGATTGTCTCCTAGAGAAACTTCATTGTATTCCTCTGGTTTGACGCAAGAAAGTGCTTTAATTAATTGAACATGTCTTTTTTCTCAGCAGACTTCAGTCCAGTGGTAGAAACTGGAGAAAAAACTTAGTTTCTTTGGTTGGTTTTTGTTTTTGTTTTTTTTTTAGGACAACAGCTGCACGTGCAAAGGTGGTGAATGACTGGGTGACAGAAGGTGGTGTGCTGCTGATGGGGTACGAGATGTACCGGCTCCTCTCACTGAAGAAGTCCTTTGCCACTGGCAGGAAGAAGAAAACAAAGAAACAGGCTGGTCCTGTCATTATTGACTTGGATGAGGAAGATCGACAGCAAGAGCTTCTGAAAGGTGGGAGGCCAGTCTGAGAGAGAGAGGTCCTGTTGTCCAGCTATCAACTCTGGCAGCACAGAGAAACAGTCTATAACCTGCTTCTAGCATCCATGACAGGATCAAACTCTTCTGGGCAGGATTTGCCAATCTGATCTGACGCAAGGCACCCAACTTGATGCAATGCAGGTCAATGAGGAGAAATCAAGGGAGAGTCATGTCTGGTCATTACCACCTTATGCTAAATCACAGGTCGTGTCTAGTCATGTTTTATTTCCTGAATCAGCTTTGCTCTCTGCCACCTATGAGCACTGCTTTTTTTGCCTTTCAGAACTACCTCTCTTTTTCTTTTTGTGAAGTTGGAGACCGTGTAATACCAGAACTAAAATCTCTAACTAACTCTTAATGTTCCTTGTCCTCAGGGATTGAGAAGGCTTTGTCTCGCCCTGGCCCAGATGTGGTTATCTGTGATGAGGGACACCGGATAAAGAACTGCCATGCCAGCACTTCACAGGCCCTGAAGAACATCCGCTCACGCCGGCGGGTGGTGCTGACGGGCTACCCGCTCCAGAACAACCTCATCGAGTACTGGTGCATGGTAGACTTCGTCCGACCTGACTTCCTGGGCTCTCGGCAGGAATTCAGCAACATGTTTGAGCGCCCCATCCTGAATGGGCAGTGTATTGACAGCACCCCTCAAGACGTCCGTCTGATGAGGTATCGCAGTCATGTCCTACATAGCCTGCTGGAAGGCTTTGTGCAGCGGTGAGTCCACAAGGAGTTGTTAACTGTGTAGTCCATGTAGACAGCTTCTTCATCCCAGATTAGTCTGCTTGTTTGCTGAGTTTATGTAGCTGCTTTATGGAATTGTAGAATTGTTTAGGTTGGAAGAGACCTTTCAGATCATCAAGTCCAGCTGTTCCCCCAGCACTGCCAGGTCACCATTAAACCATGTTCCTCATCACCACATCTCATAGAATCATAGAATCTTTAGGTTG